ATTATTATTATTATTATTATTATTATTATTATTATTATTATTATTATTATTATTATTATTATTATTATTTATTATTATCGTCATCATCATTATTATTTTGCAGGAAACACATCATTTTTGTCAGGCTGACTCGGGTTTTTGTGCAAAGTGCCAGTGGGAACACACCCCAATAAGGAGGTATAAGGAATTGAATTCAGTCTCACTGAACTCCATTTCAATGTACATTTAAGGTTGAAACTAGATTTCATTCCCTTTAAACTGAATTGAAAAGAGATTAAATAACAGTTAAAAGGGGTTACTCCCCACATGTTGAGGGCTTTCCAAGGTGGTGGCAAATTTGCACTTTTCCTACGATTTGACAATCTCCTACCCAGCATGTCAGCCTGCGTGATGCATTTCTTTGAATGAAACTGAAAAACTAATATATTTATTTACAGGATAACTACTCCGAAGTGCACAGATTGTTTTCTTTTTCCAATGATTTTAGCAGAAACACAGATAAACAACTTACCTTCCACTGCAAGGAATGGAACCACTGGTCTCTCAGGTAACTGTTTGCAGCCTGCAATTTTAATGAGAGGAAAAAAAACGGGGTTTGCTTATTTGCCAATGAGCTTATATATACTTTTTGGAAGTAAAAATGATAAACCCATTTGTGGATAAGTAAATCCTTTTCTTAACTAAATACCATGAAAAATGTGCCACCTGGAATAAGCCAACCCTTGAAATTTTTCTATTTTAAGTTTCACAAATGGCTTATCCAGGAGTGGCATATTTTTCATATAACTGGTTAAAAATTCAAGGGTTGGCTTTTACGCCAATGGGCTTATCCATGAACATTTACAGTAGATGAAAAAGAGAGTTATTCAGTTGCATTTACAAAACTTTTGAAAATTCACGGGCAATTGTACAATATAGGTACACAGAGTCAGAATGGCTTAATTAGGCTCTTAAAAAATCCTTGCTCAGTGCAGCAATCTCAGTTAAATGCAGTGTTTGGGCTTATCCAGAAAAAAAAAAAATCATTATATCATTTGTGGCATGCAAAACCTGTTTTTATGATTGGAAAATTTTTCTCTGTATTCATTTGAATTCTGCCTTCTCGTAACTTCAGCCCGTTATTAAACTTTACCCTAGTTTTTCCGTGAAATATTTTTGCTAGAATAAGAATAAAACCAAAAGGCTATGCTTACTCACACACAAAAAGGATGAATCACATTTTATCTAGCACCCATTGTTAGGACTTATCAAGTTTGTTTTTTCCTTTTGAGTACACCTAATTGCCAGGAATAGCCTTCAAAATGCAGGGAAAACACTATACCGCAGAGCCAAATATAGATTATGGTCAAAATTAGAACTTGGCCAACTTTTGCAATTTTCCAGAGATAAAATAACTAACTTGCTTTGAAAGTTTTTTTCTCTCTGAACACCCCTTAAGCAAGAAGATGTAAGTGGAACACAACCCATAATTTAATTTTCTCCTGCCTCAATTATCTTTACCATTATTCACTGTTTTTCAGGGGGACCAAAATGCTTCGTTATTTCATTGTACAAACCTCCCAATGACTTGTTAGCTTCATATAGTCTCTCCTAACCTCAATGCCTCTGATACAGTCACTCATTACCAGATTTGTGCCAATTTCTGGGAGCAACTTCTCATATCTGGAACATATCCTGACTCGGTTATCCTGTTGTATGCAGGAAAAAGGTACACTCCATTTATGTATGGTAAACATATGGGAAAGAATCCCATAAAAAAAGTAGGGGAAGAGGACGTTTGGTTTCTATAGGTGGATTTTCTGACCTCTTACAAGAGAAGCAGTCTTCCAATATTTGAGGGGCTGCCACAAAGAAAAGGGAGCCAAGTTATTCTCCAAAGGCCCTGAAGGCAGAAGAAGAAGCAACAGACGGAAACTAATCAAAGAGGGACCCAACCTCGAACTAAGGAGAAATTTCCTGACAGTGAAAAACAATTAATCATTGGAACAGCTTTCCTCCAGAAGTTGTGGGTCCATCACTGGCGGTTTTAATTTAATATTGGACAGCCATTTGTCTGAAATGGTATAGGGTGTTGGACTAGAACAGTAGTCGCCAACCAGTGGGCCAGGGACCACTGGTGGTCCGCGAGAAAATTTTGGTGGTCCGCAGAGAAATGTCACCCCCAAAGCAATTAATCCAGGCTGCACGGGAACACAAGGCTGCATCGCCCACACGGCCCGTGGGAACACAAAGCTTCTGTCGCTTGCATTGCGGACAACACGAGGTAGTGAGGGGAGGAGGGGAACTTACCCCTCTCGCCCCCTGCGCCTCATGTGGCCACCAGGCTGCTTCTTTCGAAAAAACAATTACTACCCACCTGCCTTCAATCGAGGACCTGTATCCTGCACGAGTCAAAAAGAGGGCTGTGAAAATATTTACAGGCCCCTCACATCCCAGACATAAACTGTTTTAACTCCTACCCTCAAAACGACGCTATAGAGCACTGCACATCAGAACAACTAGACACAAGGACAGTTTTTCCCTGAACACCATCACTCTGCTAAACAAATCATTCCTTCAACACTGTTCAACTATTTACAAAGTCTGCACTAGTATTATTGTTAATCTTCTCATCACTCCTTATCACCCATCCCCTCCCACTTGTGATTGTAGGACTGTAATTTTGTCGCTTGTATCCTTAGGATTTATATTGACTGTTTCCTAGTATGATTTGATTGTTGATTGTACCCTATGATCATCATTAAGTGTTGTACATTATGATTCTTGATTCTTAACGAATGCATCTTTTCTTTATGTATACTGAGAGTATTTACACCAAGACAAATTCCTTGTGCATGCAATCACACTTGGCCAATAAAAGTATCCTATCCTATCCTATCCTATCCTATCCTATCCTATTCTTTCTGCTTCTTTCTTCTTCTGCTTTTGGCTGCACACAAGGAAAGCAGCAACGGTCGTTCTTTCTCTCCCCCAAACTCTGCCAGAAATGAGTCTTTGGGACCCCGCAAGGCCTCCTGCTCCAAGAGGCTGTGCCGGCACAACAAGTCTCCCAGAGACTCATTTCTGGAAGAGTTTGGGGGAGAGAAAAAAAGACTTCTGCTGCTTTCCTTGCATGAAGCCAAAAGTGTCTCTCTCTCTCTCTCCCCCTGAGAACGGAGTGGAAGATGGTATCCTGTAATCCCAAATAAAGAACGATCGATCGGTAGGAAAAAGGGGTGGGGAATTTTCCTGCAGACTTTTGGGGGGATTTTCCCAGGGTCCTCGGGATTTAAAATTATGAGTTTGGTGGTCCCTGAGGTCCAAAAGGTTGGCGACCCCTGGTCTAGAAGACCTCCTTTCCAACTCTGTTACTCTGTTAATTCATATTTGACTTTCTCACCACCCTGCTATCTCAGATACTTTCCTACAGTACGCTTCTACTTCTCTGTGTAAAGTGTATACCATAAATGGATTAGAATTACATACTGTGTCATAGCGTGGTTTAAGCTTCATCTACTCAATAAAACAAAACCTGGTGGCTTTTGTACATCACGCTAAGCCGTAAAACCAGTGAAGGCTTGGTTCTGGAGGATAGCAAATACATAATCTATGGTTTTCAAAAATATAATGGTTGAGTTGGCAGAAGGAAAGGAACACCTGGAGGGAGAGCATAGGGTGAAAACATCTACTGATCTTTGCAATTGGCATCCTTGAGCCACAGATGACATTTATGAGCATGGGACTAAGAGATGGGACTTATTTATTAGATAGGACTATAGGTAGTCCTTGACTTACAACCGTTCATTTAGTGACCATTTGAAGTTACAATGGCACTGAAAAGAGAGAGAGTCAGAGGGGGAGAGAAAGTGACAGAGAAAGAGAGAGAGAGACAGAGACAGAGACAGAGATAGGCAGGCAGACAGAGAAAGAGAGAGATGGAACACACCCATCAACTCACTTTCACGAAATTTATACCATTATGCTATTTTTTATTTATTTAACCATGTCTACAATCTGGGTGGCATTCAAGAGTGAAGGCAGAAGACAAAAAGAAATCACCAATAAAATTAAATTGGCAATCCTCATAAGGAAGTCCATGGATAAAAAAGAATCACACCGAAGGAAAAGAGCCATAAAAACCAATCAACTCTCGCAGAGCTTGCTTACCCTCCTGGCCCAAGTGCCTGAAGAAACACCCTGACCTTTAGGGTTTTGTGAAAGGCTAACAAGAGTTTCAGCCATCTGGTTCTCCGAAGAGACGCCCTTCCACAAGGGAGGACCGGTGGCAGAGAAGGCTCCATCTGGGTGCAACAAGATGACTCTGACTCAACCACATGCCAACTCCCAGGAGGACATAATCAACGAAAGACATGGATCTACAATGCAGAAGGCTGATCTCATAACTCCAAGGACCTTGCCGGCTCCATCAGGGCCAACAAGTTCAGACTCTTCTGAAGGAACTGGGCAAGACCCATGCCTCAGGTAAGTCCACAAAAAGCATGCAGCTAGAATCCATCATAGATGCCCAGAAGAATCTTCACAACAGGACCTCCAACTGGTTCTCTGAAGATGCAATAAGGATGGGAAAATAAACTCTGCCGCTGTGAGGAAGACTCTTGACCATGTCTGGTTAAGTCCACCCACTGTGTTCCTCCAGCAGTGCTCAAGACATGTCTGCTCTTCCAGATAAATCAGACAAAACACAACTAGATGAATTAGTTCTACTTTGCTGCAAATCTACTTGAAAAGAATCTTGCCAATTTAACCACAAACTTTTAATCACCCAATTAGGGAGGGTTGTTCGTAAGTTTCTTCCTCCCACCCGTTAAGCCACTGGAGGCTCCAGCCTCTCTTCTCTGATGGTTTCCTAGGCAGCAGCTCCTCCCTTCTTTCCCCAAGATCATCCAAACATTCCACGACAAAGCATTTCTTATGATGCTCCATCACCCAGAAATCCTTTGATAACGAAGGGGTCCTCTGGGATACATATGAATAATAGTCTGTATAGGTGCAATTTGATTCAAGGCTATCATCATCCTCTCACTCCAAGCTGCAGCAAAACCTGACTCAAACTGGGTGTCAGAGCCCCATAACCCTTAAATCACCTCTGCATCCCAACCAATCCATTGGGTGCTTAGGGTGAACCAATCAAGTAAGTTATACTTTGTAGGAGAAGCAGCAGCAGAGTCAAGAGAGGACTCCACCTAGAATCGTTACCTGTCCACAAACATTCCAAGTCCAGCCCCTCTTGAATCCCACTGAGTCTTATCTAAGCATCAATTTACTGCCGTGAGTGTGGTGGCGCAGTGGTTAGAATGAAGTATTGCAGGCTAATTCTGTCGACTGCCAGGAATTCAATCCTCACTGTCTCAAGGTTGACTCGGCCTTCCAAGGTCAGTAAAATGAGGACCCTGGTTGTTGGGGCAAGATGCTGACTCTGCCTTAGAGAGGGCTGTAAAGCACTGAGAAGCAGTATATAAGTCTAAGTATTATTTTGTATTGCTGACCATTAGCTGATTAGATTATTGTGTATAGGTTTTAGCAATAAATCTTCTTAAACTGGAATTTAACGCACGCTCCTGA